AAAGAGACTTATGGATTGGGAAAGAAAAAACCAGCTTTAATAAAACAACAACAGTACTGATAATGGAATAATGAAAATTATTAGATATATACAAAACCGATATTGAACCCACTGCCCCCCATAGCAATCCCCACAGACACTGCAGAGCTGGCAGCACCGGGCTCAGCGGCAGAGGGGAACAAAGCACAGGGGCTGGATTCGGGAACTTGGGATCAGGATCAAGGGCAGAAGATTGGACGGAGTCCTGAGACCTTAACCCCTGTGATCTCTCATTTTTATACTGAATATGATGTATATGGAATGGAATACTCTTGTTGGTCACCTGTCCTGCCTGTTCCTCACCAGAGGTGCAAACTTCTACTTCCTTGCAGCCCTTCTACTTCCCGGTACCCCCAATGTGTTACACAAGATCCAGCAGTGGCCTGGGTCACTACAGGAGCAGGTAAAACAAAACATCCTCGGCTCTCTGCTGATGCCAATCTGGGAGCTCTGAATTTGGCTCATTTTAAGTGCATCTACTACAGTATGGAGAGGTGCCTGACGGTGATCAGTCTCACATAGAATCACAGAATTACAGAATGTCAGGGGTTGGAAGGGACCTCAAAAGATCATCTAGTCCAGCCCCTCTGCCAGAGCAGGATCCCCCACAGTAGCTCGCACAAGAACGCATCCAGGCGGGTTTTGAATGTCTCCAGAGAAGGAGACTCCAACAACCGCCCCCGGCAGCCTGTTCCAGGGAGGTTGTGGAGTCTCCTTGGAACAGGAGTCTCAGGAATCTCGCCTTGATTTGTTATTTCTTTTGCCGCTTCTGCTCCTCCCTCGGCTCCCTCCCTCCTCTCCAACATGCAGAAAGCTGCTCTGTAAGCCCATGTTAATTTTTTCCACATTCTTCCTTCTTTATGAGGCTCATCTTTTTAAGTTTACATTTTGAGGGGTGTGAGTCAGAGCTTTAGGTGTCTTTTCTGACCTTGCTTCCTTTGGTTAGTGCTCTGGCTGACGCTGTGGTGAATAATGCCTTAGGTAGGTGGCCAAGTTAGGTCATCTGATTGCCTGCAGTGACTTCTGCTTCAGGTAGGTGGGGACATCTTGCCCAACCAGATGCAGAGTTTTCAGCTGCTTTAGCCTTTCAACACAAAGGGGTTTGATGACGCAGCTTCCTCCCTTGCTGTTGAATAAACCTTCATCGCTAAAACTGTTCACTGGTCCAACCAACTCCACTGGTTGGCCTGAAGGGCTGAAATCATTCGCTGGAAGCACGAGCTACTCTATAACCTGATCCTGGAGGACTCATCCCCGGATGGTGATGGGTGGGTCTGTGCCAGGAGTGACAGCAGAAGGTAGTTCCAAGCCTCACCTCAGTAAGGTCATCTCTAAGACATGGCATCTGCTAGAGCAAACGCTGCCTGGGAAGTGCTGCTGGGATGGACCCTGTGAGTCCTGTGTTCTCAGTGCCGAAGCATTCGTGTTCTGACATCTCTGCTTCAGCAAAGCAAGAAGCGCAAGCAGCCCCAGCTGGCTGAGGACCATCGAGGAGATGTTTCTGCAAACCTGGAGCTGGCCCCGACTTCGGAGTCACCTGCCCATGCTTCCTGTGGATGGTGCTCTTTGGGAGGGATGAGCCCAACGCAGCCCAGCTTCACAGCACGCCCTGCGTCACAGCTTCTGCCAAGCCTGGCCCAGATCCTCTGCGTGCTTTCCGCCTGAACCTGCCCAGGCTGGGGAGCGTGAAGAACCTGCCTCTTCCCCAGACAATTCTCTTTTGTTTTGGGAGGATGTTTTGGGGAGAAATAGCTGATTTTCAGACCAGTTGGGTTTTCCTGGAAGTCTCAGTGACAATTTCTCCAGCCTCTGCTGCCGGGAGAAGTTCTGAGTATTAAACTTCTTACATAAAAACTTCTGAGTTTTTGCATCTAAACAATGTGGTGTCTGAGTTAAATCTGAATCCTTCCCCAGATCTAAACTCCAAGAACACAGAAAACTGTATCCAAAAGTCTTTAGTTATATTACCCTGAGAAGGGGATACATCACTTCTATAAAGGAGACTTAGAATTCCAAGTTGCTTCCTTCTTGAATATTTTCCTGGGTTAATTAGCAGGAAAAATAATTACCCTCCTATGTGTGGCAAACACTGGTGGGAGGCAGTGAAGTGAGTGATTTAAGGTAGAAAATATAGCTTTTGTGCAAGATTTACTCCCCTTGTGCTCTGAATCCTCTTGTCAAAATAGTAGCTTACCCTTCTCTTCTTACTCAACTATTTTTTCTTTAACCATGAAACCTTCTGTACTTGGTCTCATTAGGAAATATAACTCTTTAAATTAATTGATTTTTTAATGAGCTGTTCACCTGTTGTAAAGCAACCACAGGTTATAAGCTTGATGGGAATGGATCCTCAAAGAGCCCTTTGGTGTTTCAAACTTTAGATCAGTTTTGAAATTTAATTCTTTGTGGTTTAGTTGTTAATCATATAAAGAAATATCTTTAACAAACCAAGCAGTATTAGCTATGATTTGGTGGACCTCTAACAAAATGTCCGGCATCAGTTTGGTTTCAGTCTGGAAATCAGAAGAGCAGAATGCAAAATTCTTACAAACCCTCTTGAAGCCCTATTTTAATTAAAATCAGGTGTTACTACCTCTAACACCAACTTGACTCTTTCAAGCCATATAACTGGCAGTCAGTTTAGACAGTCTTCTGGCTTTATACTTGCTAATTTGCTTTATGGGGATGAAAATACCCACTTGGTGTGCAGCGCCGTGGAGGTGGAACCCAGCCTTTGCAGGACATATCTGAGGAGTTACCACGAAAAGTTGCGTTGAGAATGGTTTCTCACGCACGTAGCATGGACTGAACAGGAAACATCTGATAAACTCTTTAATTCAGCATCGTTTTGTGCTGTCACAAGCGTTACAAGACTCCAGATGAATCAGGGCTTCAGTTACGTTACCCAGCAAAACTTGCCATCTTGCGATATCTTGGTGGTATCAAGTTTGACAAGAGGAAG